AATCAAACTATATTCAGAAGGAGGTTTACGCTAATTGCAAATTTAAAGACCAATTAGAGGGAAATTCATCATATATATAAGAAGCATGTGGGTAAGAAAGGAGACAGTCGTGTAAATCAGCATAAAAATCCAGTAGCAGAGTTTAGAAGAGTTTATCAAAAGTCAGAATCATATGGAACTCCGAAATTATCCTAAAAGAGTTGGGGGTTTTGAAATAAGAATCCTAGTTCAGGCAAATCACAAAAAGAGAGCGAGCAATTGGATCAAAACATGTATAGCAAAGAACAATGCAATCACAGTAGAAGGATTCAAAGCACACAATGGCAAATACTGATAAGAACAATAGGAGAAACATGCTTAGAAGAACCCTAGAAAAAGCTCAGTAGAAGGCAGACAAAGAACCATAAGAACTTAGCAAGTAGAAAAACACAAGAATCGCCGGAAAAGATATAGCAGAAAAGCATATAGGAAAACACAATATGACAAACATATAAGAACATGATAAAATACAGTGGAAAAATCTACAAGACAATAGTATAGAAAGCACAGTAAGGGAAACATGCAAAAGATGATACGAGGACACAACAGAGGCAAACACAAAGGAAGAAAAATCATAAAAACTCTTTAACATTTTCCAGAAAACCCTAAATCGGAAAAGAAGGGTTTTGAAAGTAATTTTCAAAGGAAAATTTAGGGAAATCATCTAAAAGTTCAAGTATAGAATAGATACACAACGGATCTAAAAAGAATCGGAGAAAACCTCGTAGGGTTAGGGTTTCAGAGGAACCCTAGGACGAGAAAGGCTTGGAAAAGGTCCGATCTAAGTCGGATAAGGTCGGAATCCTCAGGAGGCTAGGATATGCCGGAGCAGGGCCGGAGATGGCCGGAAACCTTGAATCGGCGAAGGTCTGGGTGAAGGCCTTCGAGGTCTGGGTGAAGGCCTTCAAGTATCAGGCTCATGAGGGTAATAGGAGGTGAGTATAGGTCGTCCATGGCCTGAGAGGCCATGGATTCCGGTGAGTCGGAGGTTGAAGAGGGTGGAGGCGATTAGGGTTTCAGGAACATTCAAGAGCGTTTGAGAGGGGGAGGGTATTCAGAGGCGGCTGCCCTGTCGAAATGAGGGAGTTAGGTTAGGGTTGGGGGATTAAAAAAGGTAAGGAGTGAGGCCTAGATTAAAAGGGGTTTGGGGCGGGTAATATAGACTGGTTAGTAGGATTGGGCTGGTCCGGAATTGGGCTGGAAATTGGGTCAATTAGGGGGTTAATTTAGGCTGTAATTGGAATACCAAATGGCTGTAATTGAAATGAAATGAGGCTAGCTTTTAAATAGCTAGTTTTACCCTTTTTATTATTTATAAATAGCAATAATGATTTTAAGATCAAATTAAAAAGCACTGAACTATTTAAACTGAAGCACATCTTTAGAGAGGCTAATGGAGTAGCGGACCTGTTAGCTAAAAATGGTTGCAGCCTGGACACTTTTTGTACTTTGCAAACTTTTGCTGTTCCGCCTGTTTTTACTTTCCATGTACTAAAAAGAGACAGTCTAGGCACTATGGGGCCTAGACTGAGTTCTTGTTGTAATAACTCTTAGTTTTGTTGAATAAATCTTTTATTACCAAAAAAAAAAATCAAAAGAAGTTTGCGGATATGTATACTAACTTATACACGCGTCTTGTCTTCATAGCATCATTTTGTATTTATATCTATGGACTCAAATTGATTCCTAAAAGTGCCTTTAAGCTAAAATAGCTTTTAAGCCATTTTTTAGTGTTTGGATAAAGTAAAAAAATGCTTTTAAGCACTTGTTTTTAAGCTAAAATGACAAAAACAAGCCAAAAGCAAAAAGTTAGAATTCCTAACTTATGGCTTAAAAGCTATTTTGACTTAAAAGTCACTTAAAACAAGCTCATCCAAACGGGATCATAGTATAAAATGGCAAATGAACAATAAAGCCGACAAGGGTGGAGCTGGCCTATTACGTACAGGTTTGATCGAACTCAATAACTTTTGTGTAAAATTGCATGGGGCGTCTTATTTGATCACCCCATTTTAACTTATACCTCTTTTTGTTTTTCTGTTTGCATTCGTACCTATTTTTTTGTTAAAGGCATTTTAAAGAGACGATTTTGCCCTTCAGGACTATTGACAAAAATGTAGGCCGCAGGACAAAACTTCAGCATGTTTTGGTACGAAATTTTAGCAAATGAACTAAATAACTTCAGCATGCATTAGAAAAAACTCATTAGAAAATTACATACTGCAAGACAAAAACTTAAGCATGTTTAGTCTGAAGTTTTAGAAAATAAACTAAAAAACTTCAGCTTGTTTAGACAGAAGTTTCGGATAAAACTCATGACAAAACTGTAGATTGCAGGACAAAACTTCAGCATGTTTTGTGTGAAGTTTTAGCAAATAAACTAAATAACTTCAGTATGCATTAGCAAAAATTCATTAGAAAATTACATACTGCAAGACAAAAACTAAAGCATGTTTAGTCTGAAGTTTTAGCAAATGAACTAAAAAACTTAAGCATATTTAGTCTAAAATTTTAGCAAATGAACTAAAAACTTAAGCATGTTTAGTCTGAAGTTTTAGCAAATAAACTAAATAACTTAAGCATGTTTAGTCTGAAGTTTTAGCAAATGAACTAAATAACTTAAGCATGTTTAGTCTGAAGTTTTAGCAAATGAACTAAATAACTTCAGCATGCATTAGCAAAAACTCATTAGAAAATTATATCTTGCAAGACAAACTTAAGCATGTTTAGCTGAAGTTTTAGCAAATGAACTAAAAGCTTAAGCATGTTTAGTCTGAAGTTTTCGCGAATGAACTAAATAACTTCAGCATGTTTAAACTGAAAGTTTTAGCAAATGAACTAAATATCTTCAGCATGTTTAGACTGAAGTTTCGGATAAAACTCATGACAAACTGTAGACTGCAGGATAAATAACTTCAGCATGCATTAGCATGAATATTTTGCTTCAATGTGAAACAACTTCATGCTATATTAGCATGAAGTTTTAGCTTCAACATGAAATAACTTCATGCTACATTAGCATGAAGTTTTAGCTTCAAGGTGAAATAACTTCATGTAAGTGTGATTCTGAAGACTAATCTGGACAAGTTTTTGGTTTTTTGATAAAGCTGCTGAGAGGAGAGGAAGAGATCTTTTTTCATGAATGAGGTTGCCGATCATGCGATTAATCTTTTGTCAGGGGTGTAATTGTCATATTATTATGAATTTTTTGTCAGCTGGCTACCAAATCAATAATTTTTAAATATAGGGTACAGGTTAAAAGGTGGCACAAATATAGGATACGACTGCAAATGCCCCTAACTTTTGCTTAGGCTCTATATTTATATCGGAAAGTTTATTAAATATGTATAATATTTAATTGTGAATCCAGTAATTAAGACGAACTATGGGTGTTGCGACAAATTTAGCACCCATAAACTTTAAATCTTTGTTTCGTCTTTGAAAACGAATGCAATTTATTTCTTTTAAGATCTTAATAACTAAAGATCTTATTGATCTTTGTATACCCCATAATTTTGATGGGTGTTATATGAACGTGTTAAAATGTATGAATATTTGTATTCATGGGTTCTACTGTTTAAAGTGTTTATAAATGTTTTTCTTAGCATGCCTATAGTCTGTTTGTCTAAACTTTCAAATCTTCTTATTTGAAAAAGTGTTTTTTGTTGGAAATATTTTCAGAGTACTTTTGAAAATAAGTTGTTTGTGTTTAGAAATCAATCTGAAAATTAAAATAGCAATTTGTGCTTCCGAAAAGTTTCAAAAGTGTTTTGGGGAAAAGGTTACTTTTTCTGGTTCTATTCATAAGCATTTATTTTTTTTCTCAAAATTTTGGTCGAACGCCTCAAATCTCTAAAATAAGTACTTTTTATTTAGTAAAAAAAAATGCTTTTGGCTTCGTAGAAACTTGGCCAAATAGGCTATTAATTGTGCGAAGATTCAGGAATTGTGTTCCTAGTGTCATGTGTAAAAATTGCATGAGCATCCTATTTGGTCGCCCCCATTTAACCTATACCCATTTCTTAAAATTTGTTTAACTTGTACCCACTTTTTAAACAAGTTGAGGCTTTTTCCTCCTCCTCCTTCTCCTTCTTCTACGGGTGACAGTGATTTTATATGGTGTTTGTAAGATAGTTTGTGATGTTTTACAGTGATGAGCTGTTATGGTGCTTTATTTTACTATTGCTTAGGATTTCTTCTTCTTATTTTTCTTAATTGCAAAATGGGTTCGTTGGATTTATTGTTGTTTTGACAAATTGATGATTGGGGTTTGTTCTTGATGATATTTGGAGGTTATGTTTCAAATTAGAGCTCATTTGAAGTAGATTTACGTATTAAATCGTATATTGGATTGTTATAATTCAAAGAACAAATTTCTATCAATTTGCACTTCAGGCCTATTTGGCCTTAAGTGCATAAAACGTTGGTTGCCCTTCATACCTTTTGGCCTTAAGTGCATCTGAAGTGAATTTTTCACGTTAGACTTATTGGCCTTAAGTGCATGAAACCATTGGTTGCACTTCAGACCTATTAGGCCTTAAGTGCATCTGAAGTGCAACTTTTCACTTCAGACTTATTGGCTTAAAGTGTAGGAAAATATTTGTTGCACTTCTGACCTTTTGGCCTTAAGTGTATCTGAATTACAATTTTTCACTTCAAATTTATTGGCCTTAAGTGCATGAAACCATTGGTTGCACTTCAGACCTGTTTGACCTTAAGTGCATCTGAAGTGCAATTTTTTGACTTCAGACTATTTTTTTTTACTTCAGGCCCAACAAGTCCGACGTTGATCGTAAGTGGGTAGGCTTGCATATTTTTTAGCAAAGTGGGCATAGGTTCAATTGTGACCCTAAAATCAGATATAGATGCAAAAGCCCCGTGTCATGTCCCGTAGCCCATCCATCATTGGGCCACACTTAGCTTTGGCCCATCCAATAAGTACACCTTCCTATAAGGCTATCTATACAGTCCCATCTTCCATTAACCACAGATCACAACACTCTCAAGCACAGAGCGTTAAAAAAAACCTAACTAGGAGAAAATGAGGCAATTCGATCCGTGGCCGGTCTTCTTCCGTCGTGAATGGAGCCGTAACTGGCCATTCCTCGTCGGCTTCGCCGTCACCGGCGCTATCATCACCAAGCTCTCCCTCGGTTTCACTGGTGCGCACCTACTGTATTACTATTAATTTATACATATATGTTTCAATCTCTATGTTTTTGATTGATTGAATCTGATTCTGATCTACATAATGGCTGATTTTGCAGAGGAGGATAGGAAGAACTCTAAATTTGCGATGAGGCACAAGAAGTAAGTGTATTAAATTTGATTTTGTAGATCTAGAACATGGACTGTTGGATTATGAATCGATGAGTGATCTATTAGGATTGACTTGCTTGGTATCTTCGTTAAATCATACGGCTTCGAGTTTTTAGTATCCTCGTTAATTTAATGGTCAACGTACTTTCCTTTATGGGCTTCTTAGTTTCTGCAGTGGCCCTAATTTGCTAGACGTTGTCTGGGATTAAGCCATTGTTCATATCATTGGGTTTTATGTTCGATGGGTGGGAGGAAACAGAAGATGAAATGTTTATGGAGCTTAGAGTAAAGTTGTGTTTTAATAGGTTATTTGTACATGAAGAGAGAAATTTTTTTAGAAATGTGTTTCTATAGAAAAGGCTTGTGACTTGTTAGGTTTGTGAGCTTGTTACTGTATGACAAGAAAACCGAGATAATACTAGAATGCGATTGTGGGTTTGAGGTGTAAGATTATTTAGTGGAATGCGACTTATTTCCTTCAGGATAGTAGAAAGGAAAAAATAGGAAAAGTAATGATACTCTGATATCTAGAAATGAAAGTTATGAAGGAAGTTGTATAAAGTTGGGGGATATGTGGGATAATAGGGAGGAGGCTGTAGAACTGATGTTAAGTGTAGAATGAGGGTAGTGGTCTGAGTAGCAGAAAGTTTTCTTGTTATAAAATAGGAGGAACCATACATTCAGGAATATGACTGAATGGTAATACAATTGATGGATACGTTTAGCTGTTAATATTATCAATCAAATTAAACCAATCTGAGAGATGGGGTGGATTGTATATGTCATGCTATCTCTTTTCCCTTCTTGTACACACCGTGCAAACTGTTACACTAATGTTTATTTGAACCTCATCTGATATTTGATGTGTACTATAGTGTTGCTTGTACCATTTCTTTCTCCTTGGATTGTTTTCTCAGGAAAAAGGCATACATAATTATTTGGTGATGGTACTTACAGACATATTTCAGTAATTGGAAATTATGATTTTATGTTTGCTAAAATGACCTTATTAAGGGGTAGTGTTGCTCTTGTTAAGGTCTGAACCAAACTAGATACATTAAAGAATATTCGTCTTTTCAACTTTTGAATGTAAAAGAATTGTTCTGTTAACTGTAGACCGGGGGAGGGGATAATTTCTGGTGAATATTATGGGGGGGGGGGGGGGTTGCATCATCACCAATTATTGTTCTACTCTCTTCCTGATTTGTGAAAGAAATTGCATTCACCTCATTTAAGTTCTTGTATAAGATACTTGTAGTGTTGGTAGGTGGCATTGAAGTCAGTTTTATCCGTTCGCATGGGTTTTGTTGTTGAAGTCATTTGTTTACTCATATTTGCTTGTGGAGTTACTAAAATCTAATTTGTTATTTCTTCTTTCTTGCAGTTGATTCTGTATATGCTCAGTCTTCTGCTAATGGAGGCTACGTTGCCAGAGAGAGCCCTTTTTCTTTCTGTTTACTTCCTTTTCTAGACTGTCAAAGATAAATTTATGTTGCATAAAATGCCTCATGTTGGTTAAACTTTGAGAGCTGTCTATTAACTGAAACCCGTGTTTGCTTGCTGGTCCTGCTTATCTTGCATTAATTTTTAGCTGGCTCCTCAAATGTATGATTTACCTGAGTTTCGAGTCTTTGAGAATGTTTCGTGCTAATAAAGATGTTTTTTATTCAATGTATCCCAGTATTATAACCACCGATGTTAGGTTTCATCATACCGCTGTTGTTGCTCATTCATGATTTTTCTGGCAATGGTTTAGCCGAGTGCCAGGACAAGTTGGACAAGGTTTGAGTTACCCTCTGCTTTTGTTATTGCTTCTTAGACCTTGTCATCAATAGGTACAATTAGTTTAAACGATGTCAACCGGCAACATTTCTTTACTTCCGACGCTTCTTGCTAGGTTCTTTTATTCTTTTACTGCCAAGTGTTAACAAGAAAATCTACTCCTGCTAGATCAATTTGTTTTTTTTCTTTTGTTAATGCATCACTGCTAAATAATGCAAAGTAAATATCAAGAACAACCATGATTTGAAAATTCTTAAACTAATTTTTCTTGGAGATTAACAAGTGAGATCATCATTCCGATGCATACGGCTAAAGGTTCACACCGAAATTAAAATTTCAATTCTTTTCGAATAGGTTGATTCTAGTTCAAGTTGGTTCTATTTTGCCTTGTACTGAACTGAAAATGTAGTGTTAAAAGGGTAAAAAAGAAGGGATGAACAATTTAGATCTATTCGAGCTCTCTTTTAATTATTTAAAATTTTCAAAATCTACGCTAGTGCTAGAAAACTATGAAAGCTATCCAAGTTTGCTCATCGATAAACATACAAAAATCTGCCGCACCAGACTAAACAAAGACAATATATGAAGTCGCAAACAAAATTGGACAAAGTGCAAAGGAATGTCATCTGAGAAACTAGCAATTCATTCATTACTTCAGTTACGACAATTTTCAGTCTTCACTTCGACCAGTCGTAATTCTTCACTCCTCAAATTGTTGGTTAATCCATCTTTTTTTCTCAAGCTCTTATCGATGGCTGTATATGTCGATTCACACAAATCGATCAACGTTTTCAGACAAGTATTAATTAAAATTGATAAAAAAAATTCATCTTTCTCTTATGATAGTAGTAATTTCCCCTCTTTTTATTTTTCAAAAAAATTTCACCTTTATACAAAGTCGCTTTAGAAACCAATTTCTTAATAAACATTAAATCCAAGGTAAATGTATAAAGAAAGGAAAATCAATTAGATAAATAAACAATTATTTTAATGTTTTCACAAAAGAGCAATGGCACCAAAGCAAGAAAAAGACGTCAGCAACTTCTGTTACCATTTCTTGTTACCTTTTAATAAGTTTTGGCTACTTCATCGTTTTAATCATTTTGCTCGACAATTTCTCTTGTTCTTAGTTTTATCTGCATATGTTGTGATTCTTGTCTGCCTCACTCTTCACTCCCTGCGCCGTAAGCTTCCAAAAACTCAAATAAAATGGCAGAGGATGAAGCAGAGTCAACACTTGAGCTGCCGGAGTGCCCAGTTTGTCTACAACAATACGGCGACGTTTCTACCGTCCCTCGTGTCCTCGCCTGCGGCCACTCCGCCTGCGAAGACTGCTTGACTCAGCTACAAAACCCCTTTCCTGGTACAATCCGCTGCCCCTCTTGTACTCAGCTAGTGAAACTGCCCAACCCCATTTCATGTCTCCCCAAAAACATTGATCTCTTGCGCTTTTCCACCCCCAACACTTCAAAGACTCCCAATAACCATGTTTCAACCGAAAAATATGAGAACGATCCTATTTTTATCAAACCCCATTTATGGTCTCATGAGTTTTACTCAACTTGGAGAACATGGGTTTTACCAGAGGATAGTATAATCATTGAATCAAAAGGTTCTAGTGATGATAATAATGGGTTTTGTTTTGTTTGTTATGGGAAGGTTTTGAAGGTTTTGAAAAATGTTTCTTGTATGGGGTGTGTTTTGAAAGAGAATGAAAAGGTTAGTCTTCTTGAAATTGGATATTTTGATGACTTAAATAAGGGTTCTTGTAAGAAGTTTGAATACAGTTATGAAGTGAAAGTTATAAGTGTATTATATGGATTGAGTGAAGGGGAGAGAAATGAGTTAGAGTCAATTATCAAATCAAGCTTAGGTCTTCATGTAATGTGTAAGGTTTACGGGTTTTGGTATAATATGAATAATCATTGCGTGTACATGGTTTCTGAGACATTTAGTGGGAGTTTGCTAAGGAAGGCGAGTGTGTTAAGGAATGCAATTCTTGAGAAGAATGGTGACGATAAGGTCAGTAATACAGCTGGGTTAGTGATAGTTGGTTCGGATGTTTGTCAAGCGGTGAACAATTTGCATTTGAGAGGATTGCTTCCGGGTTATTTGGGTCTTTCTTGTTTTGGTTTTGACGAGTTTGGTCGTGTTTATGTTGATATTAGTGAGGTATTGGCAACGGGAAGGAGAGTTCACAAGACGCTTATAGAGATTATTGTTGGCACTGTTAGCGAAGATTTGATCGTAAAATTGATAAATAAAATGGTGGAAGATTGTGTTTTTGTTAGTCCAGAGGTATTGTTTGAGTTACTGAAACTGGATGATACTGTGATAAATTTAGGCAGCTCAAGGCATCATGTTGGATACGGTTCTGATATTTGGTCATTAGCTTGTGTAATTATTTCATTTCTGGTTGATAAACCATTCGCTGAAGAGATGCAGAATTATTTGAGTTATCTGGTTACTGCAGTTAGAGATGAAAAAGGTGTTGATTATGTTAGATGGTACATGGAATGGAGGCAAAAGATTATGATTCTAATTGAATGTAGAATGGGGTCAGAATTTATTAATGTGAAGGAGATTCTCTTTAAATGCTTGGATTATAATCCAGCAAATAGGCCACTTGCATCTGAACTGTGGAAAACATTAAGGGTTCTTGTGATCAAATCTGAGCGTGGCGAGGCAATAGACTTAAAGCAGGAAATGGAAAAGGAAAACATGTGTAATTGCCTAATTCTTGGAGACCTTTGTCAGTCAATCGACAAGATTAGAAACCAATCATCGAGGTGCACCAGTGATACCTGCGCTGTGGAAAATGCAAACCAAGAGGATGATGGTGTTGGAAAATTAGGGGCTGATAAAGATGTCGTTGAGGGCCTCTCCGATGGTCAAGTGAAATGTATTGATCTTAAAGGACATCTTAATTGTATCACAGGGTTAGCAATTGGAGGTACAAATGCTGCCTGTTTCGTTTTGAAAATCTTAACACTACATATATCTTTCTTGAGCTACTTGGATATTGATTTTCAAGTACTTGATGAGTTTCAAGCTTATTTTACGTGTTTTCTTCTTTACTAGCTTCTTGGTACTAGTTTTATGTGTTTTCTCCTTTGCACTGTTCAAATTCTTCTCAACTTGATGATTTTAATGCTTGATTTGTGTGGATTTTTCTCTGCATAAAGCTTAGACAAAGTATAGACAGTTCCACTA